CGCTGCCGCACTCTCAGCAACCATATCCAAACGCGCTACCAGTCTGCTCTCTTTCGCTTCTGATTGTTCTCTGCCTAAGACTGCGTTTACGCTGCAGGATTTTGGTATCGCCGCAAGAGCTGCGCGTGTGACCGTCATACTTTCTCATAAGAGTATTGTGGATGAGTATCCCTAGATAAAATGCTGTAGGTATTGCCGTGAGTGCGTGTCACTCACGGCAATACCTACAGCATTCAATACCATGCAGCAATTTCGTCGCCCGGTATCTCTGCTCGGGCGAGCAACAAATTCACGTGACGCGCGGCTGTCCTATTACGCGAGAAACATAGAAAGATTTAGAGAAGAATCAAAGCTGGCTAACGGAGTGTTGGGCCATCGAATCTACCTTTTCTTTTTGTACCGCTTATTTTCTCCTCCCCTTAAAGGCACGTTCCGCGATAAACTAAGGCTAGGTTCTCATAACCGTGCACGATGGTCAAGCAGGCAACGTCAGAGGCTATGCTGCTTTTAAAAGTTGAAAAACAGCAAGCAAAACGCAGGGCGCTCAGGTTTTAGGCCCATTTGCGCCCGATAGGCCCATGCCGGCCTCCAGTGACCGTGAGACTGCCATTGCGCTCTCTCGCCCGTCGTTTTCTGGCCTCTCTCGTCTCTTATCAGTGTATCGCCGCCTTTCGCAATTCACAATTGATCTTGACCACCTTACGCTCATCCGCCTAGGATGAGCATATTCAACAGTGTGTACTGTGATCAACCTCACGCTTCGTCCGGTCGATCATGAATCAATCTGCGGATCAAGAGGGTCTTACTCCGTGCGCTTTTTTGTGCTTCCTTCTTCTTCTTCTTCAAAAAGTCAACAAACACACGACAGTTCTATATTTGAACAGTATTACCTATGAACTGTGGTCGCGAATTGCCTTCAATAAGTTATGAATGTGATCGGTTTCTATATTTTTTATTAAGCGGAACTTGCAGGTGACGCGTTGATTTTCTTTCGCCTCTGGAACAGCAATCGTATTTGATGTCGTCTGGTCGGTGTTTTTCATACGAGAATCGCGTCATACTGCTGAATCGACTCTTCACCCTAGACGAACTAGCCACCATATCATATCTCTACTATTTGACCGAAACCACGCCTCATGCGATGCGGATCATGCGCACGTTGTTGGTCGAGGAACTGCCGAGGCACAGGTAGAGAATCCAAAATTTCTCAAAGTGGCAATGATCTCAGGACTAGTGTTGCTTGAAAATTTGGCCTGTCGGTACTTCTACTCGAAAGAAAGAGGGGTATCAATTTTCCGCTGTGAAATCAATATCACTCTGTAATGTTCACCTGGTTTGCGATCGTGTCGCTGATGGTCATGCTTTGCGAGAGTCAACAAATTGAGAGGCCAAGAAAGCATTCATATGGCAAAAGGAAAATCTGCGAGTCTGGCATTTAGGTAGTACAGCATCGCTAGGAGAATCCCGTCAACAGCGTCGTACGTAGTTGCTGGGTAGGGGGCCGTAATCGGTCAGTAGGGGTCGGACCGGGTGACGAAATTAGGAGGGCGGGGAGGTGGTCGTAGTAACACCGCCATTTCACAAGTCACAATGCTGTATGTACCCTGTCGGGAATGCCTTTATTGGGAGAGTGCTTGAGTTTTGAGAAATTGCAGTTTGCTTGTGGGCGGAGTCGAACGATTCCCATGTAGTCTACGGTCGCCTATTCTTCACAAAGTATCAACGCGACCTAATCGTGCTTCCACGGGTTTGGTAGCGCGATTGCTTTATATTTTTATGTTGTAAGCTCTCAATATTTCAGGCTACAAGTTCCTGTGCCGTGCGGAATCCTGCTGTCGCCTGAGGTGCCATGGTACATCTCCAGATCAATTGCTCGTCATCGCTTTCTGAATATCACCTCCTTCACTACGGCACCCAAAGGCGGAGCATTTGTTCACCTGCAGGACCCACAGACTTTTGCTGCCGATGTTTTTCGATTTGTGGAACGAATAGTAATGTGATTTGAAAGTTTGATGTCAAGATCAGCAATGTTCAGAGAGAATGTTTGTCGCATGATAGAAGTTTAAGGGTTTTCGAAACATCGAGTGATAGTTTCCGAGTATTAGCACAGTCTTGTTCGCTGCAGTTGCTGGGGCGTGCCAGTGAGCCTGGGATTAGCACCTTCTGCCGCCAGCCCCTTCTCTACCAATTGCTGAAGCGAGTAAACAGCAACCGGAAGAAAACGACTGGAAGAACGATGTGATACAGTCCTGTCGCTTGCCTAAAGAGAAGAAAAAATGGGCTGGCTACACAAACCCATTCCCACTTGACAGGCTCCATGTACAGTCGGTAGCCTTCCAGTATTGAAGTGAAATGAGCCCGTCGTCCAGGAGGCGCGGCTTCTAGGTTAACGGTGAAATGGCCTTTGGCGACATTCCCTTAGCACGCTGTGACAGCGCTGCAGTTCTTGTCCTCAGCAGCGTTCAGACTTCGCGATGACGCGCCTTAACGCGCTACATCTTATATAGGCTAACGCAGACGGGAATAAATCGTGCCGCCCTAATGGCCAGTGCCGACCGATAGCACACTGCGTGATTAGCCAGGGCGTACCCATCATTCCCCCCCCCCCATCCCAACTCTCTTGATACACAAGCAGCGGCGATCGATTCCTGTCTACGTCTACAGGAGTGGAGCGCTGCTGCAAATGTAGCGCGTTACAGCGCGTCGATGCGCGTCATCGCGAAGTCTGAACGCTGCCTTCTCAGACAATCTTGTCACCTCTTGATCGTTTCCCACGACATAGGAGGAAAACGGCACAGGGAATAGTTTTCTGATAATGTCATATTACCGTTGCATTCTTGAAATCCGCTTGAAAGTTCAATATGTATGTTCAGGTCGTCAACTTTATTGATTGAAACGACTTAATCAAAACGCAAACAAACACAAGCCTTAATAAATCAATAAAAAGAAAACTGTCAATACAGTCATCATCAGTAAACAAAAAAGCTAGCAACCAGCTACTCTTGAGTTGCGCAGAAAAGGAAGCTTTCGCAACGAAATAGAAGTCTACTGAAGGAGACGCGACTCGCGGCCGCGCGACTCATTTGGCCCCCTTGACAGCTCCTGGCTCACAGAGCACAATACCAGAGCTTCGCCTGATAATATGCTCCAGCTCCTTAAAGTCCACCGGTCTCGAAATGAGTCGATGAGATGTCCTCTAAAGCCAAACCGGGAGCAAGAGGCTTGGGATTAGGAGATGAAGATGATCGCACCTGCTTTTCGTTGACCGCCGAGTTTAACGATATAGTATTCACCAGTTGGAACCGAGCCAAAATCGTCAGTGGGGCTGGCATGACCTCTTATTCGAACATTATTGTAAAGGCTTTGTCGTCGTGGTGTTTAGACCGGGTAAGGTAGAGGGTATAGCTCCCGCTGTTAGTCAGCTCTTTGTGAGATGCGTCTACTCCACTCAGAATCATAGGGGTGGTTAACTGAATGCG